GCCCTCCCAGCCCTGAGCTCCAGAGGCTGGGCCCAAACCAGTTTTACCAGTGCCCGCCTCTGCAAGCCTGGGGATGCCAAGTCCACTTCCTCCTCCCATCTGCTGCCAGGAGCCACTGGGACTGGGGCATAGCTGGGAACTTGCAGGGAGACAAGGGCACCCAGAGGTGGGGGCGGACAGGGGCTTGGCAGCTGGCAGACCCCACATCATACCTCTCCATCATAAAGGACACGAGGCCTGGGAGTGGGATTGGCAGTTGTGCTGGGCTCTGCCACAGGCTCTGCCAGGAGGCACAGCAGGCTTTGGGGCAACGAGGCAGGCAGGGTGCCAGGTTTTGTCATGGGACATCCGGGTCCTAGAGCCCGCTTGGCCTTTCTGCCCTCAGGGGTGGGGACAGGGACCATAATCTGGGCAAGTGCATGGTGAACGAGGCAGACCGCCGCAGTGTGGGCCCTGGTAGGCAGCATAGCTCCTGGTGTGACCAAGCCCTCCCTGCCCCCACCCCATCTGGGGGTACCAAGGCAAAGCTGTTGGCCCCACGCCACCAACACAGGCTCTCTGTGGCCCTCCCACCACTTTGGGCAGCCAGTGAAGGGCCGGAGGTCAGCTCTAGCTCAAAGGGCCCCTCAGTACTCCATGTCTTCAGTATGGTGTGAAGACCTTAGGGATGCCCCCTACCTGTTGTCCTTGGGTAGAGATTGGGCATTCTGTCAGGGGTGTTTCACCTTTCCTGGGCCTTAGTTTCCCCACCCATCGAAAGAAATGGTGAAGTTGGCCTTGTTATATATTAACAGCGAGGTTATAAAGCACTTCAGATCTTAGGATAAAAGAGGATGGAAGGTAATGGAATGTTCTGGAAGGTGTGGACAGGGTGGAGGCTATCTTGGGGGCTGCTGGGAGAGATAGGGAGGTGAGTGGGGTCTTCTGGGGTGGAGAAAATGGCAGGAGGCCAGGAAGGGCCTGGGGGCAGGACACTCAGGAGAGGCTGGCAGAGAAACTTCCATGCTGAGCTCACTCCAGCAGCCATTACCATGTGCCAGTCACCCCCAGAGCGTCCCTATGAGTGGGGAGGACAGATGGGTCCATCTCGCAAGTGAGGGACCTTGGCAAGGTATGGGACCACACCTCTGCCAGGGTAGCAGGAGGCTGGGCTGGAGGTGAACCTGCCTGTCTGGTGCAGTCCCCGTGGATGGGGCAGCACTCAGGGAGGCCCCACCCAGCTCCGTCACCTGTCAGTGCCAGCTCCTCTGCCCCTGCGCCCTCTTTGGTCTCTTCTCACTCACGCCTCCACCGGGGAGCAAGCCCACAGAGGTGCCAGCTCTCTAAGCTCCTGCCTCTCCACTCCCTCCTCCCTTCCCCTGGTACTGAGGGTGAGCTGTTTCTGCTGCTCCACCAGGGCTGCCCCCTACATGTACCATGTCTACCACCCATGAGGGACACCCTCCACATGTGGAGGGGTGCTCAGCTCCCAGTCAGCCCTTCCCTCTCTCTGCCATTCTTCCTCTGGGCTCTTCCTGCCCAGAACAAAACCCACCCAGACTCGCCTCTGCTCGCCTCCTCTCTCTCAGCCTCACCTACAGAATCAGACCTCTGCGGCTCCCAGCACTGTGGTTCTTGTCCAGGTCTGGAGATGGTCTCCCTGCTACCACCCCTGGGCCTCGGCTGACTCGGCCATCAGCGGTACAGGCAGGGCAGGTCCCTGCTACCCGGACGTCTCTCTCCTGGTTCTCCTTCCCTGACCCCCAGCCCCGTGAATATGACATGTTTGGGGGTGTGGGACTCAGCACTCCCACTGAATAATGCAGCCCTCTTCCTTCTCGTTCAGAGCTCCTCAAGAGCCAGCAGGCACCTGGACTCAGCCCGAGTAAGACCCAACCCACGTTGGTGCCCCAGGTGGCTCGGCCCCGGAACTGGGACACGGCCGAGGCATGGCCACCTGGAGCTCACACCCCAGTGCAGCTGTTGGCAAAACCAAGTCAGATTTACCCTCGACCTCTCCCTCTCTCTCCCTCCATGGCTACCTCGGTCCAGCGCTGGGCTTTCCCTCTAGGGCTGGTGCAGTGGCCACCCGCTGGTCACTCCCACCTTCTCCACATAGCGCCACTCATGCTGTCCCTACCACCATGGCCTGGCTCCTGCCTCTGTCCTTGGCCCTCTGTAGCCACACGGGCTGCCTCACTTCCCGCAGCAGGGCCTGTGCACATCACGCGGCTTCTTTGCCTCCTCCCTCACTTGCTGCATGTCTCTACTCAACTGCCACGTCCTCAGACAGGCCTTGGTGACCGCCTGTCTTCCAGGCCCCAGATCCTGCTTCGTTACTTTCTACACCGTGTAGTTCAACCTGGCTTTATAGAAATACAGTCATGTTGCAGGCATCTGGGAGACTAGGCCCATCCTTCCGCCAGACACTGTATCCTAGAAGCTAGAATCCCAGGGGCTCTTCGTAGATGTCCAATAAACATTTAGGAGTAAACCAACTGCCCACCCTACCCCAACCCTTGTTCAGCCCAGGCTCTAATGAAATGCGGCCCCTGCCAGGGCCTTGAACAGCTCTGCGGCACACCACTGGAGACGTCCCTCTGGCGAGAAAGATGCTATGACAAGGCCACTGTCCCACCTGTTGCCCGAATGCCTCCAGCTCAGCCATCGCCCAGCCATCTTCACCAATGTTGGGGCATTCCTTGGGGCACTCAGGGAACCCAGGCTGCTGTGGTCCCTGGGCAATGCCTGGCCTGGGGAAACTGGGGCCCCAGATCCCCAGAGACTGGCATGGCATCAGGTTAGCCAAGACTGGAAAGTCTGGTTCAACAGATATGCCTGTCCTACTGAGTGGCACCTCTGATGTGTGTTGGGGGAGTGCAGACACATTCTGTGGGTGGCTCCTTCGCTGAACGGGGCCTCAGGGCAGTGCACAGAGGACTGGGGAGGGTAGGTGGGTGACCGCTGGCACGGAGCCCCTAGTCAGGGAGCAGGGAGGGGCCTCCACCCCCAGCACTGCCCTCCAGATCTAAGCCACAGACTTGGGCCTGAATGAAAGGGCTTGGGCAAGGCCACCCTTATGAATAAATCGGCTTTGTGAGGTCAGTGAGAGTTTCAGGAAGGAGTGGGGTGGGGTGCATGGGGCAGGGGCTGGCCTCCCAGTACAGAAGTGAGGTCCTCCTCCGGGGTTAGCTGTGCTGGATCCACAGCACACCCAGAGCCGCCAGTATAGACAGCTCAGTCCATACCATGCAGAGGGGCAAGCAGGGGACCTGGAGTGAGGTCCCCTCTAGAGACCATGTGTAGGAGCTGCCACCTGGGGCTTTTGGGGTGCTGGCAAAGCTGGGGGGAGGTAGCAGAGGCCTTCGTTTAACCTCTCCACAAGCAGCAAACCACTATGGATTCACATTTCCGAGGTAAGGACACAGGCGCAGGAAGGCTGCCTGCAGGAGCGGGAGAACCGCGATGTTCTCCATCCTCTCTCCCTTGGAGCCCCTTGCCATGCCCTCCCCTTCCAGGGCACAGCCACACTCAGAGCTTCCAGGGATAGCTGGAATCTGATTGTTCCCAGCTCAAAGTTCAGAAAACTGAGGCTGAGCACAGGCAGGTGTGCCCAGATCAGCTGCCAGAGGTGACTCTCCATCCTCCTCACCCCTCCCCTCCCTCTTCCCCGCCACTCCCCTCCATCCTTTCCCCTCCCCTTCATCCTCCTCGCCCCTCCTCTCCCTCTCCCTGGTCCGCTTTGGCCAGAAGCTGGGTCCGGCCCTGCTATCCGGTTACTTTCAGGTGAAGTCTAACTTCTGCTGAGCTTGGGGCCTGCTTGGGCGTCCTGCAGCCTAGGACAGCTCAGAGACTAGCGGCCGGGTAGAGGCGCCAGCCCAGCTAGAGCGCGCGGTCAGGGTGGGAGACTTCACCGCGGGGCGACGGCGCCCCCTGCCGGTAACGCAACATCAAGGCCCCCGCCTGTGCACGGGCTCCGTCCACCTTGTTATCCTTGCCAAGCAACCTGCTCAGGCTTGCGAACTGGGGGGAACCGAGCCCCAGAGACGTGTTGGGACTGGGTCGAAGGAGCAGAGCGCGATGGCAGCGCAGAACCACGCAGCGGCGGGCCGCC